TCAGCCAAGAGAGACAGGCAACCTGTAGGGTTATTTTGGGGGGTTAAAGTTGCCTGAAGGTAACTTTGACTAACAAGCCAAAAGCCCTGAGGAAAGCAGGATCTTGTCCACCACTTGCCATAAACCAATAGCTCCCTGGGGATTTCTGCCTCCTGGGAGTGTTCCTGGGCTGGGATCTGGCTGGTGGATGAAGGAGGGCAGTGCTGCTGAGCTTCTTTCCCAGCCTGTGCAGGCAACTGTCAGGCAGCAATGGGTTTCAATCAGCTGTCCCTGTAGAGGTCAGGCACAAGAGCTGAGGAAAACCAGATTTATTTCCATGTCTTTATTTTCTGCTGCCTCTTGGCAGCTCCTGTGCCTGCAGGCGCCTGCCCCCCTGCCAGGGCATGGAGAGGGGCTTGTTTGGAGAAGCCCCTCAACCCTGCCTCTGCCAAATACCCACTGGGACCCTGTGTCATCCCATCCTGGCAGCCCCAGCCTGATGCCTGTATGAAATACAGCTTTTGGCCTGGCTTTTATTCCCAGGGCCAGCTGGGACCATCTTGCGCATGAGCTCTGGGGGCAGGAGGGGATGTCTCATGCTTGGTCTCAGCATCATCAGTGTGAGATGGTTATTAATGTGAGGCAGTTGCTCTATCTGCCCCAGAAAGATAACAAGAAAGATGTGTTTGGCCTCCAGATGCCTCTCAAACAGCTTTCTCCAATGTGCCACATTAAATAGTTCTGAACTGAGAAGGCAAACTTGTCCTGGTTGCTGTGATAAGCACAGAGGGTGATAAAACCCTGTAATTAAAGTCTGCCACTATAATAATGTTGCAGCAGAGACAGCTGGGGTCTAGCCTTGAGAACTGGTCCGTGTCTTGAGTCTTTACTTGTTTTCATTGCAAGCTCATTTTGGAAGGGGTCAGTGCAGGTACTGCTGGATGCTTCGTGTGCCAGGGAGGAAGATGCTATCTGGGCACAGTGGAGCGGAGGACCAAGGACTGTTGTTCCCTCCCTGACTCTGTAACACAGACCGGGTACTTAGCAGAAGCAAATGCTCTCAAAAGCACATTTGAAGAGCAGCTGACCTTATGGAAAAGCACCCAATCTGTGGGGAGGCATTTTCCCTCAAAAGACTCCACCACTGCCCTTGGGAGCTTGTGCTCATGTTTCACTGGTCCTAAATATATATAAAACTAGATAAAAGTTAGCTTTTTCCAGTCTGGGTATCCTAGCTTTCCTCTTCATGCTGGAATTTGTTCCACCCCAGAGAGGACCAGAGAGCTGGTGCCTCTTCATCCTCCACATCCCACACAGAGGACCAGGGCAGACCCATAGGACATGTGTGCTGGGGATGGTATGCATTGCTTCTGTGGGCAGGGGGGAAGCCCTTTGCACACTATTGTCCTCCAGATCACTCTGAGGATCCTCCACCTGCACTCCCCAAGCCCCAGGGACCTGCTCAGAGATCATGGGGGACCTCTGGGCTGAGCCCTATCCCCCAGCCTCACCAACAATCACAGCCAGTTGTTAGCAGTCCCTACCTGCCCTGGGAGTTCTGCCATCCAGCCAGCTTTAATCCACTTATTGCTGTGCTCATTATGCCTCAGTTTTATTCTTAACCAAAGTGTCCCCATGAACCAAATTAAGCATCACACAGGCTCCTCTGATGTCAATTCTGTCATCTGTAGCAACAACACATCAGGACAGAAGGCATGGGCTAACCAGACAGTCTGTCTCTTCTAACCCATTGCAGTGGAGTTTTAACCCTGCCCCAGGTGATGCTTGTGGAAGTGCCCAGTGGCTTCAGTGGGCCACTTTGCCCCTGAAATTGTCCCTGTATGTTGGTGCTAGGCTGTAGGGAAGGGCACTGTGCATCGCACACCTGTCCTTCCCATTACCCTGCCATAAGAATAGTGGGATTTCAGGCAGGGAGGTCCTTAAAAGCACACAGACCTTCACTTCTTGGAGATGCCCTTTGCCCCTGTAGCCCCAGTGTGTCCCTTCCCTGATTACCCTACTATGGGGAGAGGAGGGATACGGGGAGATCATCCCTTCCCTGTACATGGCCTGGCCCCTCCAGGGATGCTGGGTTTGCTGTGATGTGGAGAAGACCATCCCAAGTGTAGGTGACAGTCACACTGCACCATGGGCAAGTTAGCCCAAGCACTGAAGCCACGGCTAAGGTACTCCATCCAAACCCTTGGGGTGGGCTGTGCTCCCCACACCACCTCTTCCTACCCTCCCTGGCTGCCTGGAAAGCTGGTTCTTATGTTAGCCCTGCTTCCTTGGGAAGCCACCGAGGAGCCAGCCAGGAATATGGGCTGCCTTTAGCACTGGGCTAAAACCTGAGCACACAGGTATCCCTGAGGAGTAGAAATAAATCTTGCTGTCCATTTGTGCTCCTGCCTATCTCTATGCTGCCCATCACCAGTAGGCACTAAGTGTTAGCTTTTCACTGCCACCACTATCCTGGAGTAAGAGGAAGAATTGAAATATGGTTCAAAAAGCAACCTAAATCAGTGCCGAGCTCAAGCCCAGCTCATCCCTCCAGTTTCCTGACATTTACATTTTCCTGCTTCCCTGCTCCCCTCACAAAGGCTGGGATATTGGTGGGAAAGGCTGCTGTGCCACATCCATGGCCAGGCAGCCCAAATGCACCCCCCCACCTGGCCCCAGACAGGGACCACTCACTCCCAGGCACCCAAGGGCTTTGACAAATTTACACTTTATGAGTTTGCCCCATACCATGGCTGTGCAAAGGACACTAAAAACAACCCTTCCCTTGGCTTACTGAAGAGGGGCAGCAAAAAATCCGCTGGCGCTCTCTGGAGCCATCTATCATGACTCCAGATACACAAGGCAATTGCTGTAAAACTTGAGTTTGGCTCAGTAAAGGAGTTAAAAAAACAACATCCCATGCCTGTTGCAAACAACCACAGCACACAAAAAAAAGCGCCTTACAAGGCTGGAGCAGCCTCATAGATGGATTGCTTTTTAATCCTCAAAGCTACAGTGATAAATCTTTCCATTGGAAGCTCCAGAGGTACTGTGTCACTCAGGGCATTCAGCAGGGTGAAAAACAGCTCCAGGAGCTGCTGGGAGAGGGGAAGTCTTCCGGTAGTGGGGCTGGGGGTGATGGAGGAGAGATGGGGGTGCTGAGTGGGGACGGGGGGCAGGAGGGTTCCCCTGGGTGCCAGGAGCAGATAGCTAGGCAGGAGCTGGCTGTTAAACAGACACTGCTATAAACCTGGGAGGACAGATGGACAGCTCTGGGGGAACGGCTCTTTGGAAATCAAGTGTTTGGAGAGGAGATGGTGGCGTGGAGCCCAACCCTGTCACATGCTCCATGTTGCAGGGACAGAGAGGTGCTTCGTCCAGCTCCGAATGAAGGCCCTGAGCAACTCCCCAGCTCCCAGCTCCGGTATGTCCCTCTGCTCTGTCCCCTCTGCGCTCTCTTGAGTCCTGAAAGGATCATTTAGGTGGTGAGAACGCCCAGGCAGTCTTTTGGGATCCTTCTTCCGCCACAGCCACCCTGGAGTGCTGGTTGATCACCCCAGACAGTTACATGGGCTGGAGAAGCAGGAACAACTCACCCCATCTGTGCCTTCTGCTGCCTTCCCCTGCAGGGCTTTTTTGCTTCTATACCACCTCCCAGGCAGGAGTAATTCCTCTTAATTGATACCGGGAAGGTGGCAGGGGCCCAGGCTGGCCACAAAGGGTGCAGAGCAGTGAGGAGCATTGGAGCAAACAGGCACTGTAATGCCTTTCGGCGGGCTGTAACAATGCTGAGGCAGGCAAGAGCCAGCAGCCACTGCCTTCCTGGCGAGGCAGAGGTGTCAGACTCTTCCAACGAACCCACTGTCCCCCAGGAGATCAGTTCCTTTTTCACTAGGTTTCATGCCCTGGATGCAGCTGTTACTGAAATTAATTGTGGGATTAAAGGACTTGCTTGGGAGCCTTTGACTGCAGCACCTCTCATGAATTTGGCTGGCATGTGGTACCAGGGGACTTGGGTTGTCTCCACACGCCGTTGCAGAACCCCAGGCAGGGGAGCAGTTTGCCTGCACCCAGGAGATGCCACCGGCCATGCTGCATCACTGGATGTGGCTTTGGCAAGACTTTGGGGTGCTTTTCAGGGTGATCCCTGGCCCAGCATCACCATCCAACACCCTGGGGCCTCTGCTGCACACTCCCCTCCTGCATCTCAGGGAGAAGGATTTGGGGTAGCCAAGGAGGATAGGTAGTCCCAGATCATGGAATGGCAGCGGAGGACATAAGGCTGGGTAAAGGCAAAGCCAGTGCCTCACCTTTCTGGCTGTTCTGAACTCCACTCCAGTTGTGCTGAGCCCCAGGATCCCCTCCCTCCCACCCAAAAAAAAAACCTGTGGACACACACACTTTTCTCTGGCACTGACCAAACAGCTCGAGCTGCAGCAGCTACATCTGTATCCTCACGCAGCCTGGATACTCATGAGCAGGGGGATGCATCCTCCCAACTTGCAGCACGAGGGACCCTGTAGCTCCATGCAGGTGGCTGTTACTACATAATAAAATGCTATCAACCTCACATTAAAAAAGCCATTCCCTGGAGATTTGCAGTCGCAGAAGTGTCTGCGTGAAGTGAGATGGGCAATAATGGCCACCAAGGAGTCATCAGTCATGTTCAACCGCGCGGCAGTGATGAGAGGCCATGCACAACTGTCCCCTGCCAGGACCATCAATGCTGGGAGCTGGAGGGGGAAGTAAATAGATGGATTCAATGCCCTTGGCCATGCTGACATCCTCTAGAGAGAGGCTGTGAGCAGCCTGCAGGACCCTGAAGGGCAGAGTTACTGCAGCCCCACACTCACCCTCACCCAGCAGCATCCACAAGAGCTGAGGTATGGCTTTGCCCATGGCAGACCCTGTTGTGGGGATGGGGAGTGGGAGAGCTGTCCAAACTGCCCCCGAGCCAGGGACTGGGTCCATGGGGGTAGGAGGGAGTTTGCAAGCCCCAGATCCTGTCTGTGGCCCTGTGTGATGTGCTCTGGAGGGGCTGGAAGCAGAGCAGCAGCTGCCAGCACTCTGCCCAGAGCTTGTTCCCCCAGCATTTCTGCTCAGGTCCCTGGGCAAGTCCTACTGGCACATCTGTGCTGCCTGGAGGCACAGCCATGGGATGTCAACCCTGGGGCAGCTTCCCCAGCTGGCTGGAACTGGAGCTGGGGAAGTCGTGCAAGGCAAGATCTCAAGCTGTTTGGACAGCCCCTCAGGCGGCATTTCAGAGACTCAATATTTGATCCTGTGGGAGGATCTTGCATACGCTGGGAAGCCAGGGACATCGGTTTCAGACAGTAAATCAATGGGTCTTTCCAGCCTGGGAGAGCGTGACCAGCCAGCCTGCACTCCCTGGCATTTTTGTGACATTTTCCAAGCCACATGTCTGGGGACAGAGTGATAGCCACTGCTTCAGAGGCAGCTCCCGCTCTGCAATGGCCCCAGTCACAGCTCAGCCTGAGCATCCTGGAGATGGGGAAGGATGATGGATCTCGCTCACACCTTCCCTGCCATGTCCCGAGCCCACCCAGCCTTGTAGACACACTGTGACTGCAGAGCCCACAGGCAGAGCCAGTGAAAAAGCCCTGTAACATGGCCTGCCCATCACCCCCCCCCAGAAGGATGGCTCAGGTTCAGTCCTGTTCTGGGAGCAAAGCTGGGTCCTGAGGGACACAACCAGGGCACGAATCAGGCCAACAGCTTTTTTTAATTCTCAATGAGGCTCATGCAGGCAGGGACAGAGGAGGGCTCCCTGCATTCCCCAGGTGTGCGGGGGGCCATGGCGGGCTGAGGAAGAGGAGAGGGGCACCCACCAGATGCAGGTCAGAGAGGAGAGTGCAGGGTGTATTCATGGGGCAGGGTGACAGGCATAGAGATGTGCCTGGGCACTGCAGGCAGCCTGAGGCTCCTCTTGTCCAGTGTTTTCCCCTGCAGGCTCCAGCTCTGGAGGAAGCAGCTGTGTTGCTTCTCTTGCCCTCTGGGGCTGCAGATGAGAGGCCAGAGGAAGGCTGGGAGCAAGGAGCTGTACTGGCACGCTGCAGACACCGGTTGGCACCACTGAAGTGCAAGAAAATCAGGGGCATATCAGTGCCAGCGGGCCCTGAGGAGGTTTGGGGGGAAAAGGTACCCACAGACCATTTTTAACCCACTCCCTCCCATGCAAATCTCTCCCACCTCCATGAGCGTCAGCCTGAGCACAAGTGCATCTTGGGGGTCTTATCCAGCATGGTGTCCCAAAACAGCCTGGGGTGCCTGAAATCCTCAACACCTGCACCCATGGGTTCACCTCACTGGGCTGAGAGGGATGATTTGGGGATTGCTGGCATATCCCTGCTGTAGAAGCCAGTCATTCCCACACCGCCAGTGATGCCCTGGCTTTAACCAGCCCTGGTGCTGAATGCAGTGGGTGCAACACATCCAGGGCACAGTGTAGCCACCACTGCCATGTCCTGAAGCAGCACTGCCTAGAAAACCAGCCTTCACATACCAGGGGGATGGCATAGAGAGGTGGGGACCCCTGCATGGCTCCTACCCCGCTCCCCACCACCAGATGGGTGCCACAGTCAGATGGATGCTGGTGTGGAGGAAAGCTGGTCATAGCTCCCCTACACCCTTATACTCTTCAGCAGAGGGACGTTGCATGGGTGGCAGGCTGGCCTCTCTCCACCTCCTCCAGCTCATACTCCTCAGCATAGGAGGGGGGCAGCCCATTGACACTGGGCATGGGCTCACATTCGGTGCTGCGGGTAGTGGCGTGGGTGATGCTGGGAGAGTATTTCTGTGACCACAGCACACGGTGGCTGGGGTGGCACATCACCTCTTTGAACATCTCCCGGAAGCGGGTGGACATCAGGTTGTAGAGGATGGGGTTGGCAGCTGAGCTCAGGTAGAAGAAGACACCAGAGATGATGTGGACGTACTGGAACATATGGAGCATATGGCTGGTCCAGGTGGAGATGAAGCTCCAGACAAGGCGATCAGTGTGGAAGGGGGCCCAGCAGATCCCAAACACCACCACGAGCACAACTGTGGGGAGCCGAGGAGCCAGTGTTACTGGAAGAGTGGAGTTCCTCCCCCAGGGATCTCCAGTCCCTGGCAAGCGCTGCCCCTTTTCAGCTTTGGCCAAAGCAAAGAACACCCAAAAAAAGCAGAGGAGAAAGGAATGGGGAGAAGGGAAGGGCTCCCTCAGTGTCTTTTTGACTTTCTGTGGAGGGGCTGGAGCTCTTCTGGACAGCATCTCCTCTCTATCTCCTGCCAGGGCTGCTCCAGGCACTCCTGTCCCATGGGTCTCTGCTCCCTGTCGCAGGGACATGCAGCATAGTCCTGGGGACATGCAGCACAGCTCAGGGATGCCCCTGTGGGCATTCAGTCTCCAGGAACCCTGCCACCTTCACTGGCAAAGTCCAAGGAGCAAGAGCTATTTGTGCCCTTCCCTTGTGCTCTGGTTTTGGTTTAATAACCCAACTTTCCCAATGGAGAGGAAAGGGGGTGATGTAGGGTGGTGTCTGGTTCCCGTGTCCTGCCATACCCATGCCACACAGCACCTCCATGCCACAGTGGGGCCAGGTCCTCCTTTGTCCCCTTCCCAGACGTGGTGCTGGGGGGAGTGGAGTCACCACTTGTCTGAGGTACAGCAGAGAAGCAGCCCTGGCCCTGCCGATGGACTGGGTCAGGCAACCTGCCATCGCTGTGCTATCATGGGGCTGGGAGCATGCAGAGGTCAGCATGCCAGGGAGACAGCTATCCACGAGCAGCAGCTCCCACTGCTGGGAAGAGGGCCAGAGGCTGCGGAGATGGTGCTGAGGAGAGGAGCAAGAGTGAAGAGCAGTGGGATGGAGGGATGCTCCAGTCCAGCGGTGGATCAGTGCATCATGGCCCTGGGATATTGCTGCAGGGCTGGGTAGGAATCGTGCCCCTCTGGGAAATACCACCACCACCACCAGCATGCAAGGTCTAGGCTGGGGGACAGGGAGCATGTTCCCCCATCCCAATCCTCTCTCATTCAGCATTATCCTTAAGGAAGGGAGGTAGCTGGCATGAGCAATCCTCACCACTGGACTGGGGCCAACAGATCTGCCTTTGCCCCAACACCCCACAAGTGAGCCCTGCAGCCTTCCTATTGGATGACCCAGCCTCAGTGCTCTGGACTGGCTTTGCCTCAGTTTCCCCTCAGCATCCTCCCAACACAGCTTTGGGAGATACCCCCTGGCTCTTCCCATCCCCAGAATTGGATTCCCCAGTGTCAGACTCACACAGCATCTTCGTGACCTGCCTCCTCTTGACTTTCTTCTGTCCCTGGGTGTTGTGGCATTCATGGCTGCCACCAGCCTTGGCTCCCAAGGCCTCCAGCATCTTTTCTTTCTTGAGCTGCAGGCCAATGAGCAGGTAGAGGATGCTGATGGTCCCCATGGGCAGGAAGAAGAAGACGATGGTGGTAATCTGGATGATGAGGTTGTAGGTCAAGCGCGGCTTCACCAGGGTGCAGATCTCCGAATCAGGCACTCGCCCCCGTCCTGGCACATAGAGAGGCTGCAGCCCATGGAGGCTGGTGTTGGGGATGGAGCAGATGACAGACAAGACCCAGATGGTGATGATGACCCTCTTGGCATGGTTCCTGGTCACCACGTACTTGGCCTTGAGTGGATGCACCACGGCGATGTAGCGCTCCACACTCAGGGCCGTGACATTGAGGATGGAGGCAAAGCAGACGGCCTCGAAGAGCAGTGTCTTGAAATAGCAGCCACTGGCGCCTAGCAGGAAGGGGTAGTTGCTCCACATATCGTACAGTTCGAGTGGCATCCCCAGCAGCAGCACCAGCAGGTCAGACATGGCCAGGCTGAAGAGGTAGTAGTTGGTAGGTGTCCTCATGAACCGGTGCCGGAGGATGACAATGCAGGTGAGCATGTTGCCCAGAGCCCCCACCACGAAGATCAACAGGTAGATGACACACACTGGGACAAAGAAGCTGGACCGTCGAGGTCCCAGGTACTTGTCCCGCAGCTGTTCCTCTGTCAGGTTGGCATCCTTGGGGTCAAACAAGGTCTCTGGGTGAGTCCTGTTGCAGAGATCAGGGCTGACAGGCTCCATGGGAAAGTCTTGCTGGGACAGGGAAAACTCGGGGCCAGAGCAGTTGATGTAGGGATTCATTGCTGAAGAGAGACAGGGAGGTCTGTGGGACGCTTTCCCAATCCCTCTGCTGCCCCAGCTCCCTCTGACTCTCCCCATTGGTGTCAGGATGCTGCTGATCACCACAGCTCTGCACCCTCACTCCCATCCTGTCCCAACCTCAGCCTTTCCTTTGGAAAACAACCCAAAATCTCCCTGCAACCTGCCTCCAGGGTTCTCAAGCACTCCTTATCCCATTTCTCATGCACAAGTAACACTGGCACCTCCCCAGCCCACCTTGGCCCCTTTCCCCTGTTGCTGGAGGGATGTCAGCAGGGCTGTCCTCTCTCCCTGCTCCTGAAGCAAAGCACGACACAGCCCCAAAGCCAACCCCAAAACCCAATCCCAGCTCCAGCTCTACCAGCTACACAAAGGGGCTGACAGTGCAACCATAAAACTGCAAGAAGGAAAAACTGATTTTCCAACCCAAGAAGGACTTACGGCTTGTTGGGAAGCTCTAGATGAAGGCTCAGGTCCCACTACCCGTGCGCCGGATGAGGTTGGGCTGAGGAGGGAGCGTGGGAGGGGATGGAGACTTCACTGCCTTAAGAGGCAGGCTAATGAAATCCTGCCGCTGCTCTCCCCTCAGAGCTCAGCTGCCTGCCCTTACCCACCTTCTGCCTCTTGTCCTCAGTCAGCCGACAGGCTGGCAGGGAAGCCACAGGGGTGCTGGGGACTTCCTCTCCCACCACTGGGCAAGCAAAGCCTGATGCTGAGACCCTATCCCTGCGGGGGGCTGACTCGTTGCTTGCAAAGCAGCACTGGCAAGAGGATGCTCTTCAGAAAGAGGGAGGAAATAACATTAATATAATAAACTCCATTGACTCTAAGAGAGTCCCGGGGGACAGTGGTGCAGTCATCTCGAGCCCCACCAGCAGCCTTTGCAACACAGGTATTTGCCATTTGTGTGGTCTCTGTGGTGAGTAATGCGTGGATCAGCCCCACTGCCAGGAATCATGGCCCGCACAGTGCGCAGTTGTCCAGATTCATCCAGGGGAGAGGCAGATGTGCAACCCTGGGTCACCCGAATCATTCCCCTGTGGAGCAGGTGGCTCCAGCCAGCTTCTGTCACATTTTCATGCAAGTAAGTTGCTCCACTCACATTGCTACCCCTCGCTCTGCACTGGGGTCTGCTCCCTCACTGTGCCCACTGTTTTTCAGTCTGTCTGCACTCCTGCCCCTCCTCTGTGCTGGCACCCCATCCTGCTGATACGCCTTGGTCACAGGACAATACTCCTGCTCTGTAGCAGCATGCAGGCCCTTGCATGCATGCACAAACACATGTGTGCGCACACACATGCACACAAAGCCACGCACACACATACACATGCACACATACATGCATGCACAAACTCACGCGTGCCTGCACCCCACGAAGAGCTGCCGGGCTGCGTGTCCCCGCTCCACCCGCAGCTCCTCTCTGCTCCAACACGTGCTTTACCGGTCCGAGCCCAGCCTGGAACCGACGGCGCTCCCCCGAGCCCGCACCCCGCTGCCCCCCCCGCTCCGCCCCGCCTGCCGAGCAGACGGGCTGGCTGCTGCGGTGCGGGGGCTCCCCGGCTCCGCCGCGACCGGGAGCTGTAGCCCGCCCCGGCCCTTCAGAGGTGGGGAAGTGCGGCGGGTGGGGGTCAGGGCAAGGGGGTGACACCGGGGAGGCTGCTGCGCATCGCTCAGAGCGGCGGCAGAGGGCATTGCCGCCCCGTGGCATGGGCAGCACCGCGGACGCTGGTACCTGCAGCGGTCCCTTCATCCCCTCGGAGGGTGGCAGGGCTCAGGGGGACACTGTGCTCCCCCAGGGATGACATCCTGAAGGGCTCTGGCATCCCTAAGACTCTCCTCCATTCGGGCTGTCCCAGCTCTGTCCTCGAAGGTTTTTGGTTGAGCCAGGCAGGATGGAGCTGGAAGAGCCTCCGTTGGGGCTGCATTTGAGCAGGTGGGACAGGGATCTTAGAGAAAGAGCCCTGTGCTCCCCAATCCCACCCAGGCTGAGCCCCAGCACAACTCACTGCACCGCTAAGCCCAGCACTGCACTGCCAAAAGCTGCCTGGATTTGGTGGCCTTCAGCTGCCCCTAAGGTCCTGCATACCCAGATCCCTCTTCTGATGCCAGGGCACACAGCAGATAGGAGCAGCACGCTAAGTCACTCCTCTTCCCTTCCACAGCCCGAGGGGGAAACTGAGGCACCAAGTTCCCACTGGTGCCCTCCTTCCCAGGAAACTGGGTTCCTGCTGTAGTATCTCTGACTCACTGCTGTTGCAGAAAGAAGCAAATAGAGACTGCTTGCAAGCAGAGATGGTTGGCAACACGTCTGGGTGCAAATGCCCCCAGGGCCATGAGGCAGAGCCCGAGCAGGGCACCCACCACAGCCCCTGCTTGGGAGTCACCTATGTCAACAGTACATACTGCTCCAGAGCACTCTTGGGCTGCAGGGCTCCAGCTGCATGCTGGGGGGGGATGCAGCATCCCATTTCCCCACTGGCTCATGAAATAGAACCAAAAGAGAGCAACAAGGGAAGGGGACTGGCAGATGGGGACAGTGTGCCTTGAAGCAGCCCAAAGGGGTGATGCACACAGTGGGTACTGATCCCTCAAAGCCCTGGAGGTATTTTTCCTACCCATTTTGATGAGACACAGAGATCCTGAAAGCCTTGAGAGTACCTGGCCTGGCTTCTGCACACCCTACTTGAAACCAACAAGCTGGAAATAGAATCTGAAACTGGGAGGGAGAAGAGGTGCTGCGTGCTGCTATGGGAGTGACAAAGGTAATAAAACCTCATCTGTTCTGGGGACAGACACAAGTTAAAACACAGGGACAGGACACAGGGACAGCAGCTGGGTAATGCAGGCAGGGGCTCAGAAGGGCTGGCTCAGCAGATGCTGGGGTGGGCAACAGTGCCAGGGAGCCAGCACATTGCAGGCCACAGCTCCCGGGTTGCAGAGCCAGAAACAGTAGCTGATGGGCAGGGATTTCTGCCCCTGCCTCCAGATTGTGCACAGGTTGCTTTTTCCCCAGGGGATGCCCAAAGCAGGGGCATCCATGCTAGTGCAGAGGCAGTACTGTAGTGCTAGAGGTTGTACGGTACTGCTGTACTGCTGAGGCACCACGAGCCTGAGCAAAAGCTCACTTGAGGGACTGCATCAGGGGATTAAGCATTCCTGGAAATCTCTCAATTGCCATCCTTTCTCTTCCATCTCTCATCTGCCTCCCCTTGCTTTCTGGCCACCCTGGTCTGCAAAGAGCAAGGACCAAGCAGAGCTTGGTTCTCTCAGAGGTTAACCATGGGTCCATCCATCCCCCCAGGTTGCCAAATCCTGACTGTCAGGTGGCCAGAGATGTCCTGCTTGCCCAAGGTCCAGCTTTCCCAACCTCTGCTTTGCTGGGACACCAGAACCACTGGACTGGGAGTCCTTCTCCCTTTGCCTCCCCTTCACCATTAACATCAGCCTGCTAGAGTATCCCACATAACTTGGGCCTCAATCACTGTTCCCATACTACCTGCTGTCATAACTCTTTGGGAAGAATTGATAGCTCTCAGAGACTGCACATTACATTTTCCCCTCAGCATCTGTTTCTTGCTACAGCCCCTTTCCCCAAGGCTCTGCAGGCCTGATAGTGCTTCAGTGCTATCTGGTTTTCAATTTTCTAATAAACCAAGTAACCAGGAGGTGGCAACCCCTCTTCTACTACTTCTCCTCCACTGTTTAAAGAGGGTGAACTGCACATGAGAGCATGACCCTTTAGCCTATTCCCCTTACCAGGTACTTTATTACATTAACCCTGCCCAGGGTGGCAGCAGGGTTCTCTGGGCTGGAAACTTTAGTAGTAGGTAGGCAAGCTAGGGGTACACACAAGGTTCCCTGCACAACTCCAGCCTGAAGGATGTCTCCAACCTTCCACTCCCTGCTGTGCAGCCATCCCTTCCCAGCAAGCCAGCCAGTGCAGAGGTCCCTGCCATGTGGGTCCCTCCACATGTGGGTTAAGGCTGGAACACAGCAGCTGAGCAAGGCTGGCTCTGCAGCATCGCCAGCAGAATTAAGAAGCCAAAAGAAAAAAAAACAAAACAGGCTTTGAAGCTTGAGAGCTGCAGCCCTGATAGCCAACTGCAGCCACTCCCAGCTCTTTTCAAAGGCACATCACTCACGGTAATTGCAGGGCAGACCAGCACAGCCTTTTACAGAGCTGTCTGTGCCCCAGCCCCTCATTCCCTCCCCTGCTTTGACATTTTAATGAACACCCTCTGGTCCTGAGTGCAAAAAAAAAAACACCAAGCCACAGAGTGATACTACATCTGAGAGGGGAAACTGAGGCACAGCCACTTGTTCTCTCCATACCATCTTACAGCAAAGAGCCCCCAGGGTGCATCCCTCTCTGTCACTGAAGCAAACACGAGCAGCCCCTTCACAGGGTATTGCAGATCTTCCCAGCTAGGTTCAGCTGGGAAGTAGCTTCTGTCTCTGTTGAGAGCTGCAAATTTAAAGGTGTCCCTCTTTGGTCGCCTAGGGGTGGCATGTCCAGAGATGCATCCTGGATTAGGAGGATGCTCATTTCAGTCCCCAAGGCAAGGAAGGGCCACTCGGACCTGGATCTGGGTTATTTTGGAGGAACGTAGCCAGAGGTGAATGCAGGCCAGTGGGGTGGTATTTCCAAAGCAGTGCTGTTGTCATTTAAGCAGCTGAGCCTACCCACACATCCTTGTCTGGTGAGGGACACCCTCCTCCAGTAATTTCTTTTGGCCATTGCTACCCTGTGCTTTTCCAGTCACTGACTCCCAATAGGCCTTTTTGCACTGCATAAAAGCTGTACTCATTCCCAAAATCTCATGTCAGCATTGTTATCCCCTCTCGCACAGCCCAAGCAGGTGACATCTTAACCTCTCCCAGTAGTGTCAGCTCTTTCTAGATCTCCAGGTCCCTTTTTCTAAGCTGGTCATAACTTGCCAGCACACTTTCCAGGGTGTGGGTACCCAGCAAAAGAGCCAGCAAAAGCCCTTGCTCCCCTAGGACATCAAATTGTATCCCTATGTGATACAGGGCTGGTACCCTTGGCACCCTGCTCACAGCCCAGGGTTTTTCCCTGCAGCAACTGCTGCACCTAAAGCCCCACAGTTCATCTGAGAAATAGGTGGGAAGGGGCATTTTTCCTCCACCACAAACTGGGCTGAAAGGAGAAAAAAGGAAGGGTGGGGTTGGGAGAACAAAACCAAAACCCACGCACCACATTTCAATGTTCACTGGGATAAAAGCAATCAGTTTTCTAGGGAACAGCAAAATTGGCCTCTGCTCCACAGCCTGTCTGCCCCAGGTCTGCTGGGGTCCAGGGAAGGCAGGCACTCTCTAAGCAGGTATTCAGGCACCATGGCAACCATAATTTTGCTAATCAGGGCTAGCACAGACTTGAAACACTTTTTCACCTGGCAGGAGCACTGGGATTTTGTAGGTTCCCATCAGGCCGTGTTGCCCAGGGGTGCTTCTTTGGCTATGCCCCCCACAGTGATGGAGGAGGATGAGGGCTGGCTGCAGTCAGGGCATCCCAATGAGAAGCCACACAGCCCCAGTACTGCATCCCCCATCCAGCACAAGGCTGAACAACATGTGCTTCTACCAAGGCCAGGATGAATCACTCAAGAGCAAAAAAGCATAAGATGCAGAAGATGCTGCTGATGCTGCAGATGTGTCTGTCACCCAGGGCTTTGTTAGTAACATTCAATTTTCCTGCCTCCCCTTCACCACCTCTTTCAGCTCCTGTCTGACAATGCTCTGTAGCTCCGTGTAGTGTCAGCAGAGCAGATACTGTCACCAGTGATGGAGATGGCATTTTGTACCTGGACAGGAGAGATGCAGCTGCAAGAAGGGGACGTGTGTGTGTCTTGCAGACCGCAGCCCCATACTCAGGACACAGCTACCATGACATCTTTCTTTGCCTGT